GTTAGTGTTGCTGCCGCTGCTGCTGGAACTGGGAAACAGGTTGCAACAACAGGCGCTCCTACCTGCTGCGACCGCCTGTTGTCCCGAGTAATCGAACCCTAAATGAACTCATCCTTTTCTATTTTATTCTTCCACTCCTGGTCAAAGACAAAATAATATTTATTCGGCTCTCTATTGAGCTGAGTCGCGCTGACTGCTGACCATTTGTCTGTCTCCCTGTCTGCCGGGATATACATTTGGCAGATTTATGGGCCACAAGCGCACAAAGGTGGCATTGCCCACTCGGTCGGATGATGGCACGGCCAAGATATTGGAAGAAAACTGCGGCTAGATGAAGATATACTTGTAGTAAGTAGTGTAGCGATGGAAAAATGTGCGTAGAGCATTCCTCTAGTTTCGAATGAAATTTCAGGGTAATTTGTTGTTCGACCAACTGCCAGGAAATAATTATGGATGGGTGAGCTGTTGGTGGCTTGTCCCCTAGTTGCCAGCCACGCTCCTTCGCATTTGCGCGTGTTATGAAGATGTTAAGTCAAGTTGATATCTTGTTTGACTAACCCAGCGACAGAGAGACAGCTCGGATGGTGCGGAGGGGCACAATGCGAGCAATAAAATATATATATGTATTCTGCCACAAATACAACAAAAATGAAATGCCACCACATTCGTTTGTCTATCGCATTAACCCTGTGTTTACATAAGTATCTACTCCTCCATTATTGTTGGCTACGACGGTGTTTACACAAAAATTCCCAGTTGATATTTAAGCAAATTTTTATAGTCATCATTATGCCATGCACTCACGTATTATTGTCAGAAATTGGAGCATACTCCTTATATACCCGTATAATGATGACTTCAGGCGCCAAACGCGTTTTCATTGCCCATAAATCAGCCAGCAATTTGGCATGTTGGCTTATTTCTGCCTTATTTGCACATGCAGTGAAGCTCGAGCGCCCAAAAGTAGGCAAGGCCTGCACTTCAACTACCACATACACTCGAACAAAAAACTGTGTATGTAGCATTAACCCCACATTTGACATTGCTCTTGGAAATACCAGTTGTTGTTTCTTTTTTAATCTCAAATATTACGTAAATATTTTATAATCAATAATCTATTTATTTTTTAATATTTATAATCTAAATACAATTTAAAAAGAACTAACCATAAAGTATTTATATACAGTGTGAATATTTCTTAAGATTTGTTCAGTTCCATGCGGTAGACAGGTGTCGCTATAATTGAAGAAGAGTCCAACTCTTTAAAACCCCGTAAATAATCCAAAATAAAAAATTTTGCTTTTAAATATTTTTAAACAAACATCATATTTAACACCTAAGTATATGAATATGTCTTAATGTACCTTTGCTTATTTGTATGGTATGGACTGAAACCAAAGCACCAAAAAAAACAGCAACTGGTTGGTCGACATTATATTTAAGTTTATATATTTCCTTGAAGCTCACTTATCCCGATGGTACATCGAAAAAACATAAGCTTTTGCTTTCTCGGACTTAATATAATGTGTAAATAAATATCTTCAAAGGACCATCAATACTAGATAACAAGGGCGTAGCCAGCTTTTACCAAAGGGGGGGGGGGCCAAAAAATTAAAATTTTGATTAAATAATGCCCGACGCATTTAAAAAATAATTTATGCATATGATCGATGAAAACACTTCAACAAATCCAACGCAGATCCATCTTAAGGCGAAATAGTGCGTCATACTTGTAATAATGAACGTGTGGTCGACTTTTTATGGAAAAATCTTTTCTATCTTTTCTTTTCCCCCTGCGTACGCCCTTGCTAGATAAGGCTTTTTAACTTTAAAAAATTTTTGGTATCCATGGAGTGGCAAACTTATTCAAGTTAGCTTCGATACACCTATTTCTTAACTTACCTGAGTTACAAATCTATAAATATCGCTAAGACCCATTTTTGTTATTCTTTAACTTTAATAAAGAATAAATTAAAAGAGATCGTGAGAAGAATTAAAACCAAAAAGTGAGTGTGTTAGTAACGAAAATGTAAAGGAGGTGAAATGCGAGCGATGAGCCAAGAACTCTCCCCAGCTTTTTTAAATGTTATGCTCGATCTTAAATTAAAGTTTCAGTTCTAATGATAAATTTGATATATACTTGTATATATATTTTTTGACGATTAATTATTACATTCAAAAACTGGTATACATACTACATTCGATGTAAGCATCAACAAATAATTGGATATTTAATTAACTTTGATTCTGAAAATTCATATTTTCGAAAACACTTTGTTTCAGATCCTTACTATGATAAGCCTGTGCTTCTTAACGACAATTTTAATCGAGGGTATTCGATAAGTTCATACTTTCAAGCCATACGAGTATCTGCTGAAGTCTACAATTCCAGGCAATCTCCACCATCAGCTATGTTTCTATGGTTTATTACTTTACTTGCCAACCATGAAATCTTAGCAGCATGTCTTAAGGATGTAAAAAAACATTCATGTGTCAAGCATCGACGATGTTTTTGTCACGATGCATTGATGTTTTCCGATGGTTTTTTACCAATTATGAAACTATCAAGAGAGACTGTGATATATAAACATTTTTTATTTCAAACATCTCTGTTGATTCTCTCCCTAATATTACCTTTTTTTTCTATGGAAAGTTATTTTTTAAAACATCGATGTTTTTTTTGCGATGCATCGACTATGCATCGATTTTTTATAAAGAGACATCAATGTATATCAACATGGATGTTTTTCCTTCGACTTACATCCCTAGCATGTCTAATATCGTTTGTTGCGCCATCTATGGGATTTGTAGCCAGAGTCGTAATTAAGGTGCTAAGGTTCCTGATATTTTCCGGTTTCTTCATTTCTTTTGATGCAATTACAGAGTGTTTGCTAATTCCAGGCCTGGGCCGTCTTTTCGTTGTCCTCAATTTTGTCCCATTATCCACTTGCCTTCTTCCAACTTTTCCCATTCCCGTTCTTCCTGGAGTTATAAATGTTTCTTCTTGAATTCTTGTAGTTAATGCTCCAAAAACTTGATTTTCAATTGTTGTGACTTTGTTGTGGGTGAATCACGGCTCCGTCCATCTTTTACTGAAACTTATCAATCCTACACTCGTCATGGCTTTGAAGGCAGACCATTAGATACTTAAGGGCTACCACGTCTACTACCATTTCAAATCTCGGTTGAACACGCTGAAGGAACCGATATGCAATGCAAAAATCAATTTAGTCAGCCTAGCATAACTTTGCTTTTTATCTTCAGTCCGAAATGATTTAAACACATCAATAATATAGTAACGTCCATCCTTTGCTACAGACTTACTATGATAGCATATCTTCGACCTTATTTTATTAAAATGGCCTCCCTTTGAAGCCACAAACGAGTGTGTATAGCAATATTTTTGAAGTAAATTTAGTTTCCACCCAAAAATAAATGTGCAACTTTATTTTCTTCTTATACATTATGTATAGTATATATATATTTGTAATAACTCTCTAGTGTATATATAAATTAAAAATAAATAAATACATTTTTTATTTATTTATTTTGTCTTCATTATTTTGTTTTATAATCATCTTCATCTTCATCATCATCATTATCATTTATCATATTCATCATGATCGTCGTTTTCGGTAAAAACTCCGTTTGTCTTTGTCTCCTTAACATTATTACTGCTTGCATGCTGGCTGTTGTTGTTGCTGCTGCTGTATCTGTTGTTGTTGTTGTTGTTGTATAATTAATAGCGACAGTAACGCATTAAACCATGCTATCATGTATTTATTATGTTTTAATTGTAATCATTACGTAATAATAATATTGTATAACATATTATCTCTTATGGTTTGCCTAGCTTAACATCTTCATCTGCACTTCTCTACTTCTTATCCCCTGTGTTTGTCTGTAATACTATCAACGTCTCCTGTCAAGTAGATGCCCACTCTCTTTCATGTCACACATTTCGCTCTCAGCCTTCTCTCATAACACGCACACGTCCTCAACATTGATTACTCTCTCAACAGTATATTTTTGGTTTTTCGTTTTATTTTTTCATAACAAACAGAGCAACAAACAATGAAATGCACACACAACAGGAGCAATTGTTTCGTACATCCAATAGGATATTTGACATCTCCCTTGTAGTTCTTCTCCCATCATCATCTTCACTCTCTCACTCTCACTCTCTCTCTCTCTCTTCTCTGATCTGATCCTCGGCACAATCGAACAAAGCGTTTCTGTGTCAATGTGTGGTACATAATATTTCCATTTTTGAGCAGTTTCACTAACTTATTTGGTACATTTTTAATTTGTTCTTTTTATTGCATTGCATTAAGATATATTATGTATGTATGTATGTATGTATGCATGCATGTATCTATGTATCGTATCGTATCGTATGCATGTTGAAGCAGTTGTAGTATCTTTGTTTAGCGCACTGCTAAAAGCTACTTACTTAGTATACGATTTCATTTTTATTTCCGTTTAAAGTTCATAAGAATTGCTTTCTATGGCATCTACATGAAATGATAATACTTATATAATTGTTTCTAGGCCGAATTTCTCGATTTCTCTGGCATGCTCCTTATAGCTTACTTACTTATATGCTAAATGTATGCATGTTAGTCGCAATTTCGATTGATTTTCTTTTTGTAAATTATTGTTATATACATTTAGACATACAGTTGTTTTTGTGAGTTGTTGTTGTTGTTGTTAAGTTGGAAGTTTTGGCAATGATTCAAGTGTGCTTTATAGTGTGCTTATAGAGGCTAATAGCTTTCGCCTTAGTTCGTTGTATGAGAAAGCAGCAAAACATGAGATGATCTGCGTATGGGTGGACATTCCGGATACTCCCATCCTCTCCTCTCTCCACTCTCCACTTCATTTCTCTCTCTCTCTCTCTCTCTTTAAGAAATGCTTGAAAAACCAAAATCAAAATGAAAAGAAATGAAAACAAGGCCAACGCAACTTTAACTAATATTTTTATTTTGTTTTTTTCTTTCTTTCTGTTTTCTTGCCTATATATTGTATATATATATGTGTGTATATATATGTATATATTTAAATGGTACATGTACATATGTAATTACACGCTAAGCTAATTATTTTTGTTTAACAATTAAGGGGTAGCTGCTTGGCTCTTCTTATGTAGCACGATTTCTGATTAACAACGAAAATGGACTGCAACGATTTTATTTTTGCATAAGGAACAAAATTAAGCGAATGAATTCAATTCTATTTTGAAAGTAAATAATAATAATAATATTAATAATAGTGTTTAAATAATCAAATTAAATTTGTTGTGAGTTTTAACAAAAGAATATATATAATTAACAAAATAATATAATAATAACTTCATTTCATAGGCAATATTATTAAACTTCATGATGTTTTGTTTTTATTTTTCCATCCTTTCTTCCTTTCTTCTTTATGTAGTTTCTTGCTTTTATGCTTACAGGTGTTCTGTATGTATTGTTTGTTGTGGCAACTGAATTTTCACTCGAAAAGCTTTTGAAATTTTGCAATACAAAATATATATAAGCCAAGCCCTATTGCTATGAGACAGTGCGATCTTTCAGTAGTTGTTGTTGTTTAGCTGTTGTTGTTGCTGTTGTTGTTATATTAGCTTTTGTTGCTGCCCGGGCAAGTGTCAGTCACTACATAGTATGAGTTAGTTTTGCATTTGGTTGAGATTTTGTTCAAACATAATTAAAACGCATTTAATTAAACACACCAAAGCAAGACGACATTCTCTGTCCACTAGTAGCTAGCAGCTAGCAGCTAAAGAAGTCACAAAAATCGTGAAATTGAGAAATTTGAAAAGGAATGATGAAATCGAAGCAGCTACAAATTGTAGATACATTTTGAATAAAAGCTTGCTTTAGCGCAGACATTCAGTTTGGAGGACGAAACGAACGGATGTGCATTAATATCTGAACATATATGTATGCTATATACTCGAGTTCTCAACCATAGTGCTCGTTTTTTTTTCACTTTTTTAATTATTTGTTTTTTTTTTTAGTTCAGTCTATTTTTGGATTTTTTTTCCTGTCCGACAAGCTGATTTCTATCTATCTAAATCAACAGCACACGTCTGTCCTCGCAAGCATACGCATATGTGTGGTTGTTGTTGTCTGAAGTAATAGGTAGCTTCTCTAAGTTTAATATGATTTTTTTTTTAACGATAATTGTTTTCCATGGTTCATGTTTCTGTTTGTGGGTGTGTTTGTGTTTGTGTAGTGTTGTCTGTTTGTGTCACTGTCTTAATATTTGTTTTTTCAGTTATTGCTTTTAGGGTTGTCGTTTAACGCTATTTTAATGGCACAAAATATACAGCATTGATTTTACTGGTTGTTTGTTGTTGTTGTTGTTCTTGATGTTGTAGTTATATCGTACATTATTTCTTAACTACATATGTTACGCTATTTATCCCTATTTTCTTTACTATTTTTGCTCGCTTTTCTTGTTATTGCTGTTGTTGCATTCCGGAAGATAACAGTTTTATCTATCTTGTTATTTCATTAGTTTTCTTCATTCTTTATTAATGCGCATTTTTGCTCAGTTCGCAGTCCGTCCAACATCTTTCCTCTCTCTCTCCCTCTGTTCGCCCGCTGCTGCTAGCTTCCAACGCCAGTCGCAATGTTGTTGTTGTTGCTCCTCCTATGCTCTGTTTCGCTCTTTCAACTACATTATGTTCCACTAGTTTAGGTTGCTATTTAAATTATATATCTTAGGTATGCCGTTATGTGTAGTTTGCATTTTTCTTTCTTTTTTTTCTTTTTCTTTTTTTTCTTTTTGGTTGAGCATCCGCCGGCTGTGTCCAACGAGTCCAGTCCTTACCGTGGACGAGAGTTCTTGTAGTTTGGATTCGGATGACGGCTGGGATGACGTGGCGGTGCTGTGGATTTCAAATTTTGAGAATTAGATTGTTTTCATAGTAGTTCCGATAAATAGTTAAGGATAAGGTTATTCCAATTCGATCTAATTATGCAAAATTTAGACTTGTACATTTTTTTAAGTCCCGAACAATAATTTAGTTTTGTTAATTTGGTTTAAGAAGTAATCTGTTTTTTGGAAATCTTTCATATTTATTTAAGATCTGTCCTAGGTTGCATCAATTATTAAATTTTATGATAAACTTTGACGGTTTTTAATCATGCTTCTGTCAGAAATAAAAAATGATGAAACTTCTTATCGAGACAAACTAAGTGTAGAAGGAGACCTTCCTTTCTTTGTGGGAATGAGAGATGCATTGAAAAACACAAAACTAATAATAAAGATTTGAAAAACTACTAATTTTTCCAACTATGTACAGCATTTCAAACGTTCGAACACGGATTCAATGTTTATATTAAACATAGAAAAAAAGAAGAAAAAAAAACGTACCAGCACAATGTGTGATATTATATTCTGATGTTGGGGTAATGGGTAATTAGTAGGAGCGTTTAAGTTGTGCCAGTCTTTTTAAATAAGTCTTGGAATCACCCTCCCTTTTCCCAGCTACTGTCATTCCATTATACTATGACAGCTACATATATGGCAGCTCAACTATTTTAATCAAATTTGAGGTTATATAGCTCAGGAACTGATCGTTCCTATAGCAGCTCTATGTTGTATAGTTAACCGATTTTGCTTGAACTTCAGACAAAAGTGAGACACTAAAGAAAACTTATAAATAATATATCGTAGTAGTCAAAAATATTGTTCTACTAAGAGAAATGTTGTATCGATCGGTCCTATGATAGCTATGTAAAAAAAAATGAGAGTATATGCGAGTATGGTTTGAAATAAAATTGCTCTCCGAAGTGCAAAAAGCGAAGTCTACATACAAAGTTTGGTATCTCTATCTGTTATAGCTCAATAGATATCGGTGTTCCATGCTGCTTATACATACATAATTTACCAGTAACAAAGGGTCTGCCAAACTCCATTCCATACATTTGTCATTTCAATTTTCTAGTATACACTACAAGATTTTCTAGTATGAATAAACACTTTCTAACGATGTGAAACTGCAGTTCGGGTGCGCTCGTGAAATAACTTTTCGATATGCAGATGTTGTGTCGTCCGAATAAATGTGTTTAGATACTCCTCCGATCTAATTGGACGATCTTAACCTTTGGTCAGACAGGCAAATAGTTTGCACATATAAATCTGACGAATTTCCCAAATTATGTCATGGATATAATATTACTTCAATTCAAATAAGTACGAACTCCATTCTTATAAAAAAAGGATAAATTTGTGTGCAAATAATTTGCAGGTCTGACCGCTCAAGGCGGTCACACATGTCGAATAAGACTCTTAAGCCGCATAAATATTTTCTATAAGCAATAGTTACAACTAACCTTGTATCATCATTGTGGCGGGATACATGCCAGTCATCTGCGCCATTTGCGGTCTAATGTCAGACGACGGCGAGCGGCGACTGTTTGGCAAGGCCACAGGAGGCTGCAAAGGAAGGGATAAATTAAGTAAGCTTTTAGCGATACCCTTTTTTAGTTGAAGTGTTGACTTACATGCGCAAAGTACGTCTGGCCGTATTTAATGTAGACACCAGAGGCCGCTCCTGGATTGTAACCACCAAGAGCGCTCAGCACCGCTGCGGTGGTGGCCTGCTGAGTGCCTGCGCCGGCCGCTGCACCTGCGCTGTGATGGATCTGAGCTGGAATGTGCGAGGCACGCGGTCCGTTACCACCGCCGCCGCCACCACCTCCGCTCCAAAGCGATGGCGGTGAGCTATTCATCGCCGCTGACTGATCTACGACGACATACTGGGTGCCACCCATTGGAGTTGTGGTGGTGCTCGAGGCGTTAGGCGTGTTGGCAGCGCTATTACCGCTGCTGTTGCTATTGTTGTTGTTGGTGGTGCCAACTACGGCAATACTGTTCGGCGAGTTGTTGCTGCTCTCTTGACTGCTGCTTCCGGAGGGAGTGCCGGCCATGGGTGCACCACCTCCTCCATTGGTGCTGGGCGAATTGCGCTGCGAGACACTGCGACGAAAGTCGGCATTGATCGATTTCTGGCTACGGAAAGTGGCAGCGCCTGCATTCAGACGCACCGGTGGTTTGCCCTCATTGGCCGGATGATAGCCGGTGGTGCCGGTGGGCGTGTAGCTGGTGGGCGGCGGACCGCTTATTAACGGCATCTGTGCTGGCTTGTTGTTATCAACACCGCCGCGTTTGCTCATTGGATGTGGGCCGCGATGCGATGTGTGGTGGTAGGACGGAGTACCACCCATGCTCACACTGCTGGGCGAGGCACGTGGCGTTGGCTCGTTATTCGAGTTCAGTAGTGGTGTCTTTGCTCCGGTAATAATGCCCATGCCACCTGCTCCCGAGCCACCTCCCAGGGGCATAGAATGACGCGGATTGTAGCCGCCACCGCCATGGTATGGCTTGCGACCTCCACCACCGCCATTGTTGCGCTTCTCATAGGACGTATAACCACTGCCACCACCTCCGTCGTTGGCGTGACCACCTTGATAGTAGTGCGGGGTGGAGCTATTGCTATGATAGCCACCGCTGCTGCTACTGTTGCCGCTGCCACCGTTGGGTGCATTGCTCGAACTGCTGACAATAGGCGGTGTGGAGAAGAGTGGCGCCTGACGCCCTGGTGCATTTGTGGGCAGACCTGGGGCATTCAAGGAGAGCGGTGTGCTGGGCGCTGACTGCGAGACCACATTTGCACCACCACCTCCGTAGGCATTGCTATTTGCCGCTCCGGCGGCCTCCGCCGAATAAAATGGCGTCGCTGTAATTACAGCATGGTGCGTGTGTGGTTGCGTTGGAGCCGCTGCGTGTGGAGGTGGCGGTGGGTGAACCAAAGCCGTGGCCGCTACTGCGGCGTTTGCTTGAGGCGGCTGTGCTGCCTGCCCAGCCACGCTCGCATACGGAAAGATGTTCGTCGGAATCAATGCCGTTGCATGCTGAGCGGGCAGGGCATACAGATGCGCTGCCCCATTAGCAGCAGCCGCGCTGAGATCAGAGTTAGCCGCACCGGCGCCATGTGCAGGAGCCAATGTGAGCGTTGGTACCGCATGATATGTTGTTGTTGTGGCCGCGGGTCCAGCACCCGGCAACGCTGCCATTAACTGAGCTGCCGAGGCTGCAGCACCCGGATGATGATGGGGATTCGTGTGAGGAGCAACGGGATAGCTGGGATTGTAGTGAATGGAGCCACCGCCTGGTGTGCGCTTAACACGTGCCCCTCCTAGGTAGGTTGTCGTCGCCGTACCTTGATAGCCGCCACCAGCTGCCGTCGCACCATTCGCGGCATTCGTCACAACCGTTTGCGGACCAGCCGCACTTGCAGTTGCGAGATTCATGCCGCCTGCGACCCCATGAGGCTGGGTGTGCGGCGTCTGCACGAGCGTGGCGGTAGGAGCCGCGTTCGGCGGCTGCGCGGACACCTGTGCCTGGGCCGTATGCGGTGGTGCGCCGGGTGTGGCCACCATGGGCGTTGCAGTCACATGATTGCCCAACGCCGGCTGCGACACATAGTAGGGTATGGGATGATAGTATGGATAGGAGTAGCTAATGGGATACGTGGCCATTGGGATCTGCTGCAGTTGTGCTCCAGCTGGTGCGGCGGCCGCTGTGGCAAACTGATCGCTGGAGTAGATAACCGGCGTCTGATAGATGGGGGCACCGTTTGGTGCAGCCGCAAACGGTGCAGTCGGATACGTGGTGGCTACTGGCATGACGGCAGTGGCTGGTCCGCCGGTCGTTTGATAAATCGCCTGGGCGGGTATTAGCCCAGTGGCGGTCTCACGCTGCTGCTGGGCTGGATCGAAGACAGGTATCATGTATGTGCCCTGCATTTCGCCATCCTGCGAAGAGTAGACCGGTTCAGTGGTGTTCGAGGTGGTAGTTGTAAGATGGAAGAGCTGGGGTGCGTTACTTACAGCTGGCTGCGGATAGGCGTAGAGCATGCCTTGGGGCACTGCATAGATACTGCCGTCGGGCTGTATAATTGAGAAATAGGTCAATCAAAATTAGTTAACAAAGGCTATTTTAAACTGAATCAAAGCCAACCGAATAAGTCATATCAACAAAGCATAGTTTAACTGGAATTTCGAGTTAATCTTTTACAAGTTTATCTATCTTCGAAGGGTTGAAAGCTGATTTGAATTCTTCAACATCAGGACCATTTTAATTCATCAGAGATTGTTGTGAACCGACAATTTCTTTGGTGCAGGGGAACTTGAAGTATATTTCCTTCGAAAAACTAATAAACTCTTCTTATCCCCACCTTTACTCCCATAATCTTTGGAACAATGTGGGTATACCCCACATGGGACCTAATACTTACACCCTGCTGATATGTGGTTGTGCAATATGGCGCGCCATTAGGTGTAGTCGTTGTGTGGAACACAGTGGAACCATCTGACGCCTGGTAGCTCTGCGTATAAGTCCAGGTTGTGGTCTTCGGCTCCTCAGCGCCAGCGGGCTTAGCGCCGCTAACTACACCTTCACATTGGCTGTAGGGCGTCGAGCTGGGCGACAACGAAGTGGCATCACAATTAGCATTGGCCTGAGAAATCACCACAGCTTGCTGCTGCTGCTGTTGTTGCTGTTGTTGTTGTGAAGGTTGCTGTTGCTGAAGCACTGGCGTCTGACTAGGTGGCAGCTCTGCAACTGTTGCATTCTCCTCCACCACCACCGGATGCTGCATCTCCTGGGTTGACGCGGACTCAACGAGCAGCTCTTTTTCCGCACAGCAGGCGGGTATGTTGGGACTTGTGGCTTGATTCTTATACTTTTGAACTTCGATCCTATCGTAGTTCTTGGTTGAGGTCGAGGTCGTAATGCTCAGGCAGGCCGTTGCGCTGGCCAGGCTATCACAATCATCGGCCTTCGAGTCTTCGCCGGCCTGTTCGCCGCTGTAGTCGTACCCATCGGCACCTTCGATGCCTGGCGATTGCACCTCCTCGGCATAGCTCTCCGTAGAGCTGCAGGACATCTCATTTGTATAAGGCTGCTGCGATGGCAGTTGTTGTTGCTGCTGCTGCTGCTGCTGCTGCTGATGTTGTTGCTGCTGCTGAGATGGCGGCTGGTGTGGCGAATTTTTGCGATACGACACATAGTTGCCACCACTATTGGACTGATAGTTGGAGCCGTTGCCGTTGCCACCCCCGTGCTGAAGCGCCTGACCTGCCTGACCTGGTGGCAGGTTGGACGGGTCGTAGTGATAGATGGAGCTGTAAGCAAAAGAGTAGTGTCAGTATAGCTGTTTCGATCGATGGTTCCTTATGTGTTGGGTATCTGGAGTAGTTGGCAACGCTCGACACATGCAACATCCGAATTGAGGCTCAATAAGAAACGAGGAGATTCAAATTAAACTTAAAGAAATTAGCACGTATAGAGTAAACCTTTGAAAAGCTACGCTCGCTGACAGAGTTGCTTAGCTTGCTAATGGATAGTTGTGCGCACACTAAAGTTTCGAAGCTGGCGGCACAGATGCTCTCATAGGTTATACTTTTTTAGTGGCATACGAGTACATATGTATGTGTATGGAGAAGGCAGGCAGCACACAGCACAGCAGGCAGTTATATATCAACAAAAATGTAATCGAAAACAACAACAAAATCAAACGATGCGATGCAATCAGAACGTGTTTTTGCATTTACACGAGTAGACGACAACACTGGCAGACATTTATACGATATACATAGTATGTATGACACGATTAAGAGACAACGCTGATTGAGAGAAATTGAGTTTTGCATAATTGCTTGGGTGTATTTAAGAGATTGTGAGCTATGGGGTGAGAGAGTATCTGGTGTGTGGTTTATGGGTGTGGATGTGTGGCTGGTTGGGTGTGAGTGTGTAAGTATCGTGAAGTTTCTGGTGAACGCATGAGGCAGCGCGTGAGCGTGCGTGAACTGTTTGATATTTGATTGGTAGGCAGTTTTACTTGATTGTTGTTGTAGCTCATTCGATAAATTTGTTTTAAGGCAGATAATTTACAAAAACAACACATCAACAGGTTTAAAAAAAGTATTATGTTTCACATATCGAGAGTAATGGCAAAAATTATTAAGGTATATGATAAACAAAAGCCGGAAATATTATACACAGATAGTATTGCAAATAAATTTTTGAATTTCAGATCATTTGAGCAACAATTTAAGAGAATATGCAAATTGTTTGTTAGAAATATATTTTGCTGATCAAGGAAGTAATACTTCTCAATTTCTGTCTTATAAGATTGGGTCTTTTCTTTACATCCCCCATGATATTTATAACTCATAAATAACAAAAGTATTATCAAATTGGCGATGTAAATTTTTAAATAGTTTTGTAATAGTTGTTTGGTTTATTTTTTGCTCCCATATTCTTTCAATCAACTAAAGTTTGTGATGGAATTTTTTGGCTAAAATTTGTCTAATTTCTTCTAATTGATTCCTTTTCTATTATTTTAATAATTCTGAATTACTTTTAAAATTTGTTGCATAAAACGTCTAGCATGTAAGCAAACTGAACATAAATTGTGATCAAAAAATAATTGTTAAATATAATTCTTCTGTGTTCCTTTGTTCAAGTATCTTCCTTACTCCCCAAACAATTTGCAAATCGCGTCTCTTTAGTTAAAGATTAATGATCTGATTGCATGTACGATTTAGCAAATAAATAAGGGGACATAAACATTGATAGGCGCTGCCAGTTAATCGCTCGAGATCTTTACCACAGAATTATTTGAACAGTTAGAATTATATTAGCTGAGTAAGAATAAGAAGGTGAGGTAAAAATAAAAAAAAATTAAAACATAATCTGCATAGAGCAAGAAAAATGTACAGCAATTTGCGTGAAAATATTTCGCATAAAAATTTTGAATTGTTGAAAAATTGAATTTAGATATTTTGAATATGCGGCGTTTTTGTATTTTTTGTGAGCTTGTATTATTTTTTTGTTTTTAGTTTTTGTAAATTACCCGTCTGTATTGACAATTGGTTGAAGGGTTTGCGGATTTATGAGGACGCTGCCTATTGGCACATTCAAAATGTCTGTAACGGCCCAGACAATTCCGGACGCCGGTGCCGAGCTGGACGTCTGTAGGGATGAGGCTCGTGTGACCTCACGTGCCGCCTGTGCCTGCACCTGCGCCTCCGGCGTCTGCCTGTCGCTGCCGTAGCCGGTGGGCGAGGGCGTGACGGAATCGGAGCGCACGGACTGAGTGCGTGTCTTGTAGCTGGAGGGAAATGTATCAAGTTTTATCGTTGGTTGTTGGTTCATTCATTTGTTTCATAGTTCGTAGTAGTAGTAGTAGTTGTAGTTGAATTTGTTTATTGTAGTAGTTGTTGTTGTTGTTGTAGTTGTAGTTGGGTGGCATACAAAAGTTGTTGGCAATTTATAAACAACAGTTTTTTGTTTTAAACAAATTTATTAGGGAGATGAATTGGTAGAACAAAATGAATCAAAATAATAAAAACAAAAAAATGTAAAAAAAAACGAGCTTGGTACAATGGAGATGAGAAAACATGGATTGAAGCTATAAGAGGGTTCTAGCCTTCAGCTTCACCATCAAACTACGTTCTACATACCCGCTACTTGACGGCGATAGACGCCAGGGTGTGCTGGTGCTTCCGGTGGAGTCCTGCTTGACAAAACCACGCCCGCTCTTATTCGAGTTGGTCGAGTCGCCGCGTGGCAGTGAAGATCCAGGACCTCCGGCACTAGGTGGTCCCCCGTAGTTGCCAAAGTTGTGCGTCTTGGGCACGGCACCAGACCGCATACCGCCCCCGCTGCCATCACGAGATTCCGTCGACTGCAACAATGATGAAGAAACATTATTAAAGCGAGCTGATGTCATGATCAATTTTCAATCGACATACGTTCTGCATTTGCAGCATTTTGCCGTTTGATCGTTTGGGTCGCGGTGGTTGTTGCTGTTGCTGCTGCTGCTCGGCATTATGCCAGCCGTAGCACTCCTCGTTCACCGGCTCTCCATAGCCGTCCTGCTGCGATGTGCGGCTGAAAATGCGACTGCGCGAACGATCGAAGTCCTCCTCTCGCTCCTCAAAGCTCTTCGATTTGCGATCGAGCATGAAGCGCTCGGGACACAGATAGGTCGACTGACGCACCTCATCGAAACTATGCGTATCACGCTTCAGTATTGATTTGCGCGAGTCGTCGCGATGATCAACGCGCACCAGCGACTTGAAGCGTATCTGCAAAGAAAACAAAAGCAATGAATATTGTTAAAAAAAAAGATAGGTACAAATAATGATATTTCACGTAGAGATTGAAAGGTTTAGTAACCTACAAAATCAAGAAAGAGCTGAAAAAATGCAGCCAACCTGAGATTAATGAAGAGATTTGAATAACGATCCACTCATTACGGACTAAAAGGTCGCACCTGTTAAGACACATACCCAAGCAGCATGGGGTGCCCTAGTCCATCAACTCTTTGGCACTATAGCCAAGTCTTGAAAAAAAAAACAATCATCGATTCTTGGAAGAATACTGAAGCTTGTAGCCTTCAACTTTTCATCAAAAAAGGAAATTGTAACAGATTCCATGAAACCAAACACTATACATCTATTCTTCCGAGTATTGCTGCTATGTTTTATTAATCCGTATTAGCCTGTAAAAGCAGGATCTTTTTATACTCTGTACCCGTAGGGTAAAAAGGGTATATTAGGTTTGTGCAGTATGTAACAGGCAGAATGAAGCATCTCCGATCCCATAAAGTATATATTCTGAATCAGCATGACGAGAGAAATCAATCTAGACATGTCCGTACGTCCCAGATTCTCCTAGGCCCGAGAAAGGACGAGTTTATTTTATTTTTTGGAATTACCCCCCCCCCCCCCCTCCCCCTTTCCCTCAACATTTCAAGAGCTACATTAACCAAACTTTGAACACATAATCTATTCAATAGTTTTGTTTTAAATTCCATCTGAATTGTTTAATTCTATGAAAACTTATTAGCGAAACAATTTCACTCCAGTACTACGCCCACAAGCTGCAGCATTAATTGGCTTTTCTTCTTTTTGCTTCTGTTATGGGCGCATATTACTCAGTCCCGGAAATTTGTCTGGGTACAGGGTTCTCTCTCTGGTTAACTCCCAGACACAGCCCGGTCTAATCACAATTCTGTTTCAACCTTCCAAATTCCGACTCAACCAATACCAAATTTAAGAAGCCCCGCACATTTTCTCACCAGAGCACTTACCTCGGGTATACGTGTGCTTTTGGTCACTGCCACAATGACGCATTGCTGTGTCTCCGAGTCCACATTGTGGTCCATGCCAAAGAAGGCAGCCGTACGATGAATGAGCATGCGATTATACGAGGAAGCTGGCGGAAAGCGGAACTCACAACCGCGGCTGCGAAGCAAAGAAGAGAAGATGAAGTACAATGTGTTTCATCCTGTTAGTGGAGCTCACCCCTTTTCCTGCACGAACTCGATGAGATCCTTCTCAATCTTTAGCAGGATGTGTTTATCCTTGGGATTCTTATTGAGTGTATCGCGAAAGAACATTAGCAGGTCGGTGCCACCATAGTCTGTATACTGTTCGCTCGAGTTCTCTGATTGGTGAAAGACTAGAATCAATGAGTGCCATGAGTGCCATTTGGTGACTCAAGTAGTCCAGTTGGCCTGGTTCTACTTACCGCGCGATATGAAGCCCGAGGTGTTGTTGCTGCTGTTGTTCGAATTGGCCGATGAGTTTCCACCACCTCCAGCACCACCGCCGCCACCACTGGCAGCGCCACCAGTTGATGAACAATTGTTGTTGCCATTGCCACTGCCACCATCAATGCTGCCCGATGAGCTGCCACCGATGTTCTTCAAGCGGGGTTTGGAACCCTTTGAATTGGTATTGGCACGATGCTTCTTGCCGCCGCCCCCAGCACCACCACCACCACCTCCTCCACCAGCACGCTCATAATGATATTGCTCGTCATCATGGTTGCTGTTGGATAGATTGCTGTTCTGGCTGGACATCTCGTGGCGTTCGTGGCGCTCATGGCGCTCCGAGGCTTTGTAGTTCATGCCCGAATTATAGAGCAGTGTGGCCGAATTGTTGCCATTATTATTGTGATGTTTGTGGGATGGCGCTGTGTCCAGGCCATTGGATTTAACATCTACAACATACTTCTTGCCACTATTGCTGTTGGTGCTGTTGTTATTGTTGTTGTATTCGATGCGATTGTGATTGGCGCTGGATTCGGAAGCGCTGAGATTGCTGCCGCTACCATTGCTATTGGTGCGATTGTGTTGACCCCCAGAGGGTTTCTTCGGCGGCGACAGCTTTGGAAATTCAGCCTCGTTGCTAAGAACGGCAACAGCCACGTTTTGTTGTTGTTGTTGCTGCTGCTGCTGCTTATGTTGCTGTTGCTGCTGCTGCTGTTGTTGTTGTTGTTGCTGACTAGTGACAATCACGGCGGGTGCTTCAATCAGCGGCGAGTTTCCTCGTCCATTACCGCCGCTTCCAGTGCCTGTTGATTGTGCTTGCAATTTGTTGTTGTTGTTATTATTATTATTATTATTGGTGTTGTTGTTGTTGTTATTGGCTATGGCATTATTGTTGTTGTGCTCCTGTGCCTCACTCGCTGAATGCTGCTCATTGGCACGCGGGGTTGGGGTACGCGGAGGCGATGTAGCCTCACGCATCGCATGGCTTCGCGTCAGATGTTTGCCCTTCATGTTACCCTGAGGATGATAAAAAGAAGTGCAGAACGGGGTGAGTCGAGTCAACGAGAATTATTAACTGGGGGAAACCCACTAATTGAGGTAATTATTTCCATAAAGATTTCTGATAAGAGCAGTACTTAACAATTCATTTGGACTGATTGCTTCTAATTTAGACAACTGCTTACACACGAAACCGTTTTTTATCGATTCTATGAAATACTTTGCAGAGAATTATAATGAATTTTAAGCAAACACAGATTTATGTCATGCAACAAAATACATATACCCAGACACCATTCGTTGTTTCCTAAATTTAAGACCTATAACGCTTTGGTGAACACATGAGTTTAACGAACAAAAAGTTTAATACAAGTATTGTAAAAAATATTTATATGAAAAGGAGGATTTACCTTTGGTATTCGGAAAATGAGATATTCTATATTCTATATCAAAGCTGCCTGCATCAGAAAGTGGTATTTTTATCGTAAAAATATTCAGATATTCAATATTCAGTCTTGATTTTTGTCACTCCCATATAAGGTTTTTCTACACTTGAAAAAGCTGTTAAAGTTGGTCTAAGAAAAAGTGCTTCGAAAATTGGTTCAAAGGAATGATCATAATGGTGAATATAAATATTTGCTTCCTTCCCAATTTTCGAAACACAAAAAGCTACTCTCGTACTTGTTTCAGCATCTCTCTGCCTAAGAAAAACAAATGTTGAAATACTAGGTAATCATATATCAAAGAAACCAATATCGTTTATCATAGTTTTCAAAAAAAAAAAAAAAATAAATAAAAAATTTACAAAAATTGATTTTTACTAAAGAAACTCTATTTATTTATACTTCTAAGTAACTTCAACAAATGAAGAAATCATATTTTTAGTATCATCGCAGCGACAAGTCTTTTGTATCCATTTTTAGATTTTTATTTCAACGGTCAACACAATTTTGTAAAATTCCGTAAGCTGGAGAAGTATTTTTTAAGCAAAATGATAAGCAAACAGGAGCATCAAAATTAAGGGCAGAAAAAGAAACTATTAATTGAATAATTGTATTAAAACAATTAATAGAGAAGTCTTTAGAGTAGAATAAATTTATTTGAGAATCATTTCACGAACTGATGGGAACTCAAAGCGTTTGCAGTTCTTTGGAGCTGGTAGAATAATCGACAGAAGGCGAGTAAGGGAATGATCCACACAGACGCTATAAGTAGTTTCGTGAGCATATGACTGACCAGGGAGTTGGCGAAATTTCATCGCCAATGCCAAAACAATTGACATCAGATAGGTGTAAATACAGTTAAAAGGTTACTCAAATTTTCATAATTAAAGTGACATTTCAAGGCCGATTAGCCATCATTCGCTTCTCTTCATTTGATATTATTTCGTAAAAACCCTTTATACTTGTATGCAGGCGCCATTAAGCTAAGTAGTCAGCAGTCCAGGTGTGAGCAACAATTAGTTTCGAATTAAGTAGTTGCCTCCAATTTAATGCCAAAGTTGACGAAAAGCTAATGCCGTTGCTCGCACCGTGATGCAATTGTTTGTTGAACGCAGCGCGCCGTCCTATGTTGCTCATTAAAATGTAAAACAAAGCCCATGTGTTGGGTGCGGGTTGAGCGTTAACGAGCGCACGGAAGGGAAAAACCACCAAAGCCATAAAACGCGCTAAGAAATAATTTTATACATATATAGTACGTCTGACGAGTGTACACGAACGGACGGACGGACGGACGGAACGGCGTCAACATCGAAGCTTTTGCCGTGCCAGCCACATAAATCGCTTTAACGTCAGTCTCTCACTGGCTGGCTGGCTGCCGCCTTTTGACATTTCACGATGACGACGACGTGAGCTGAAGGACAACGCAGTCAACCAACAGGCAGGCAGGCAGCCTGGGAGGCAGGCAGGCAATCCAGTTAGCTCAGTCATTGGCTCTGTCTCGAGTCCCAGTCCCAGGTCTCAGTCTCAGTCCGTTAGCCTGGCACATTAATTTCGTTTTTACTGCTGAGCCCATTGATTTTGCTCGGCAAACAGAACGTGAGTGGCCTCTGACACATCGACTGACATCATTAATCAGTTAACGGTCGTTTTGGTTTTTATTTTGCTCATGTCATGGAAGACCTAAGTCCCTGGCAGAACACTCTGTCTTGCACGCTTTTGGCCACTTGATGATGACAAGCGATTTGCTGGCAATTATCAGCTTTTCCTTTGTACCTGTGGAAAAGTCAATGGCAATATCTGCCAAGTGCCCTGTATTTGCTTTTACTTTATATGGCAAACTAAATGTATCCTAGTTACCAAAAACACCTAAAACAAAGGTTCAACTCTATTTAAAAAAACCACTTTCAATAAATCGAGCTGATTTATTTCATTTCATTTCATTTATTCACAAAAATTGGCTCATAAATTGATGTGTATGTATAATAATTATGTTGATAAGGTTTTATAACCTGTACTCTTTATTATTAACTAATTATGCATACACACCAATTTATGAGCCAATTTTTGTGAATAAATGAAATTAATTGAAATGAATCGAACTGCAGCATTGCTGTGAAAGCAGCAATGGAATAGGCTTTATCCCTAAATTTTAGAGCTACAACTAATCATAGGAGCAGCATAAGCAGCTGATCAGACGGTCGAATATAATTCCATAATAAGTTCTTTAGATCATAACTAGTATAAAGTTTTTTCTATTTCGACTATAATGTGTAATGCTATATGTGGGAAAAGGGTGAGATATACAGCTTCCTATTAAAAATGTTCCTAAGTGTAAAATTGCAGAAATGGACCTGAATAACGTAGTCTATAAAATTCCATGTGACGGAGACAGCGACAACCCATGTAGGAGATTTTACATTGGAACCACTAAGTCGAAACTAAAAACACGGATATCACAACACAAGTCAGACTACAAACTAAGGCATCAAACATTGACACAAAAAACTGCTCTAACAACCCACTGCATAGAGACTGGACACACCCCCAACTTTGAAGAAACGAAAGTACTTCAACAAGAACGACACTACAGTAAGCGATTCACTCTCGAAACGCTACACATTATCAACACACCTAACAAATACAGAATTAACTACAAAGCAGACACCGAAAATTGCGCGCATATTTACAGACACCTGTTAGTTAGTAACTCCAAGTCAAACAGAGCAGACTTGCTTAAATAAGTAATTATATAAAAATTCTTGTGTTATAGTTTTAATATGTTAATTATGTTATATGTTTTGTAGTTGCCCTGAAGACGGTTACCGTGGCGTAACCGAAATATATCGGAAAAAGAAAAGAAAATTAAATAAATTGGTTTTTCTTACTCTGACCTCGAGCCGGCCAAACAATAAAAATAACTATGAGGAAGGTCACCAAAATACTCAACGATTTCTACAATATTGAAAATGATTGCAGTTTAAATGACGAACAGAAAGGATTCAATCTTTATTGACACCAGTTGCCAACATTTGGATTTTTTAGAATGTGGTGCATTATGAATTGCAAATAATATCGAAAGCGCACGATGAATATTTGAATAGTTTATGGGATGCATATAATGGTGGCCCCATTTTCTGGAGTGACAACGATTCAAATTGTCAAATTGTCAATAAGATTCCACGATTATTCTAAACCTCTCACCATTAATATGAAATAGAGGACTCTCTGAAGTTTATTAAAATTGTTTTAAAAAATTAGTTAATAATAAGTTACAAACAGAATCTAAACGAGTTTAAACCAATTAATGCAAATTAAAATTTGACAACGAAACTGAAATGCTAGAGCTACCCAATACTTTTAAAGGGATTATTATATCTTTTATTTTTCATTTTTAACAAAATATTAAAAACTTAAGTTTCTTTCCCCATTAATTATAAATGTTAAAATTATCAACAATAAATCATTATTATTTATCATCAAATTTTGTTTTTTTTTTTTTGCCTGTTTTGTTGATAATAGTCGTTTGGACTACCCTTAAAGGGGCTGTAAATAGCGACAAAAAAATTATTTTTCATTTGTGAATTTTAAAAAATGTTGCATAGCTCAAGGCTGAGTACGGCTGAGCCTTTATCTTTTACTTTACTTATATACATATTTATAGTACTGATTTATGTATTTTTGAGTCACTTTTCGTCCAGAGTATTCATATAATTGCTTCATGCACTTCTCTTGCTGCTTCCGCAAACGTCATCAAGCGGCCGAACAGTGCTTTTGCAGGCATTATGATGTTAATGTTGCTGTTGTTGTTGAAAAATCAATAAATCGACCTTGAAGAGGAACGCCCGCTTCAACCCGAAGCTTATAATTTTTTGTTTTGTTTTTGTTGCCGACCACAAAACGGGCATGTTTTTGGTTTTGTTTTCGGTTACTGTTGCTCTCTACAAATTATCGCGTTCCACATAAAGTATGCTGGCAATAAATCTGAACATAAGGGCAAATGTGGCACTATTTGGTTGCAACATCAGCAACTGCACCCGCCACACATAAACCTTGAACTCTGCACACACTATTTTGTTTCGTCTGCCTGGGGGAGTTTAGTTTAATTTAATGATAGTTTTGTGTGAATGCAATTGAATCGATTGGGAAATTCCATTTAAGCAATGTAATTGCAAAGGCAAACAACTCGGAACCATTTCTTGGAAATTCGCAACTACGAGTATGCATATGCATATATAGCTGTATATTATATAGTGTGTATGCGGCATGAACGAATTATGTACATATGAGTATGTTATGTGTTATGTTGACCCACTTTATCGCATTCAGACTGCAGTCGTGCGCAGCTCACAAATGGGCGTGAATATCCACATATATACGAGTGGATATATATGTATATAGTATATACGCATGAAGAGCGCCTCAGTTCATGGCTATGTATGTATGTGCAATGAGATATATACGTATATAACACCTGACTTTTAGTGGAACTCGACTTGACCTGACCCATATAGCAATTAGCGCCGCCATGTGCGGCATAAATACCATTGAATAGTTGGATCGGCGGAAAGAATGCAAAAAAAGCAAAGAGAAAGAGAGAGACAGAGAAAGGAAAGGAGGGGAACACTTACGCGTCTATTGCCGAAACTATTCTGACGTCCCAAATTGTTGGCCGCTGCAGTCACGTTGCCTGGCAATTGCTCCTCACTGCTGTTGCTGCTGCTACTGTTGTTGCTATTGTTGTTGCTGCTGCTAACTGCAGTTGCTGTTGTGGCTGCAACGTTATTGTATGCCGTCGATGATGACGTCGGCAACGTTGCCGCCAAGGATGTCGATGACGACGTCGCTCCTACTGCTGCTACTGCTGCTACTGCTGCTGCTGTTGGGGATGTTGTTATTGTTGCTGCTGCCGCTGCTGCTGCTGTTGCTACTGCCACTGATGACGTAGCTTCTGCTCCTGCTGTTGCTGCCGTTGCTGCTGTGGCCGTTATATTGTTGGAGGTGTTGGCGGAGGAGCAAACCAAGTTGGTTGGAATATTTGTAGCAAGGGCTACTTGAGATTTTGTGGAACTCATAATCACAGTTTATGTAAAATGTACTGCAAAAAAAATTGCGAATTGGTAAAAGTGATTAAAACAGTCACATCATGCCATCTTCCAATTCAAATACTTATAAATTCGGTAACACATGTGAATTTAGAACACTTAAAAACTACTTAAGGTCAGGTATTGATAAATAAAGTCAAAACAACAATAAAATGCGCTCAAAGTGCGCAGTTACAATAATTCAACCCCTTATTGGGTGAAAATTGAGGTCAAACATCTTAAAGGATATTAAACAATAAAACCTGTGCCCAGATATAGATGATTGTAGAACGCAAAGGCCTATCGTAAGCAAGAGGGAATGTTACAGTCAAGCAAACCCGAATTTTAAATACCCTGTATCCTAAATAACTTACGTTGTTTTATGCAGCTAAAAAGGGGACTATAGTTTCGAGTCGAGGTAATCGAAATAGAAAATTATATTTAAATTGGGAAGTTGTGTAGAGTATTGAAAAGCTATAGCGGTGAAAATATCTCCTATACAAAAACAAAAATTTAAATAAACTTATGCAGTCTAGAGACTAGAAGAGTCTACATACCAAGTTTTGTCAATATAGGCTAAGCCTTTTCTGAAACTCACGCGTTCATACAGACGGACAGAAGGACGAACAGGTGTAGATCGATTTATCATGCTTATCTGCTTGTTACAAATTCTGCACAAACCTTATATACGCGTTTTTCTTCAGGTACAGGGCACAAAAACAGGACTTTCGTCCTTTCGCTTTATGTTATTAAGTATTGAAAAGTGTTGAAAGGAAATATATTTGTTTTATTAATAACAACAGGGCTGTGGAAATATTTCTACTTGTGGAGGAGGAGTAAAACTTTATTGTTTTTTTTTTAAAGACATTTGAAACCATTTGAAGGCCGTTAATAAAAGTGCAAAAAGAAAAGTACAGAAACTTGCAATTTATTTATAATACAATATAATTCATAATGGGCCCCCATGGGCCCCGCACATACATATGTAATATTCAAAACAATTTACCTCAGCTTTAGAAAAACTATTGCATGATTTTTTCTCGTTTTTGTTTTGTTTTTCTGACAGTTGCTTTTGGAAATTTGATTTGAAGAGTTTCGTGACTTTCTGTTTTTAGCAGCTGCTGCTGTTGTTGTTGTTGCTGATGTCTTTTAACTTGTTGTTGTTGCTTCATAAGATTCCTTTGCTTATTAGTTAGGAAAGTTTATTGTTTGTTATTTTGTTGTTGTTCTCTTTCATTAGAATTGAATAAAATCATATTTTTGCTTGTCAAAAATATGCGGCAGTGCAGTTGACAGTACATACATATATATTGTTCAAAAAAAATAATAATTATGTATACGCCTGGTTTGCGCTGCTTGGGCCAGTTGGTTGGTTTTCTTGTTGTTGTAGTTTTAGTTTGAATGCTTTTGTGCTTTCGACTTAACTTAATATTATAATAGATACGAGAAGGCTTAATTGTGTAGATATATGCATGTATATAGTTATACTTGTAGTTTTAATTGTTTAACTTTCGTAGAAAATGTTTGCAAAACGAAAATCATCACGAAAACACAAGTTGAGGCCTTTGGTGCACTTTTCAAAAGTTGTTTTTGTTTGGTATTTTGTTCTTGTTGTTGTTGTTTTTTTTTTTTTTTTTGGTAGTAAAGTTGTGTGTTTGTGTTATTTTTGTTGTAATTTTATTAAAACTTTTAATAACGCTTTTATCACATTTACACCATATCACCGAAAATCACAAGCTTGCAGACTGAGAGACAGAGCCCCTTTCTTCATGGTCTTGTTGCTGTTGCTGTTGCTGTTGTTGTTGTATTTATTGCTTTAATATGCAAATCTTTAGGCGCTGCACTTGAAAATTTTCTTTGCTTTTATTTTAATTATTATTAGAATTACGTTAATTTAGACTTAAACTTATTGTATGCATGTATAGTTAAAAATATTTGTAGTTAAAGCTTTTTGGTTGTGATTTTGTTTTGGTAAAGTTTGTTGTTTGTTGTTTTGTTTTATTATTAATTTTCAGTTTATGTTTCTTGTTGTTCTTCTAGAGTTTTCAGGTTATATGAAGTTTGCTTTGATTTGCTTGTGTTTTGCTTTTCCTTGTGGCACACATTTTGCCTGCGAGACGGTAAGAGGGGAGACGACACACATTGAAGATATTGCTGAAGCACACACATTTTATAGCCTAACAAACTTTCAATAGAACGCACAACACACAGAGCGCGAGAGCAAACCGAACAAACTATAGTATGACGACCACGACCACGACGACAAACGACCGACCGATTTTCCCTCGTTATGTGTATCTATATAAAGTAAATGCCACTCGTATTCGCACACGCACACACACACACACACACACAATGACCTTGTTTACGGTTTATTTTGATATTAAACAAAGAAATAAAAACTACAAACTGCACGGGCAACGCACGGCGGAGATAGAGGAGCTCACCAGTTCGGGATAAATGCGTGCACACATCTATCTGCTTAATTATCAGAGGGTGCTTTTTGCCTCAGGCTTGCCAGATACCACTAAACTAGTTGTTGTTGTTGTAGTTGTTGCTGTAGTTGTTGCTGTTGCTCACTTTTCAAAGCAATTATGTTAATATTTGATTGCGAAAACCTTCGTTGCATGTTTCTGGCATTAGCAAAGGGTTGAAAATTTGTTTTACAGAAAGAATACTGACAAGTTGAATGGACTCTGTAGGTGAGTGAGTGAGTTTTTTTTTTTAAATAAAAAAAAGCATCATTGATTAAATAAAAACAAAATATGAAAAAGAAACTGTAAGGGGGGGAATAAAGCCAAGCACCTCTTGGGCTGTGAATCAACTTTTGAAGTTACTTTTTCATTAAAGGCTACGCACATGCCGGAAATAATTTTTGTGATAGGTGCAGGGTTTAAAGGAACAACCAGTTGATGTGAATAACCTTAAGATATAAAAAGCTTGTTATCAGTTGCTCAAAGATGTGTAATTAGAGCTGATTTTCATTTGCAAAGTATCTTCTATTCTATGTTGAAATTTGAGAAGTATATGATTAGTTGGGAGAAATAGTAGACACAACATATTCTCAATGCAACTTGTTTCGAAAATAGGCACAATTATCAATCTCGGATTAGCGGGAGAAAGTTGCCTTTTTTGGGTTTAAAGACCAAAGAGAAGCGCCGTAGCATCGAGGCAGCATTTTAAGTAAGTAAAGGCAAAGCTGCAGTTCAATATGTTCTTTCTGGTGCTGTTAGTCATGATTTATTGAGTCATTGGCCCATATGAGCAGAAATAGTTCGGCGCAAGCTTTCAGAATGCAGTGATCTAAAAACTTTCATTTCTCAAATATAGCTTAACACAATTTGTAAATATAAATATTTAGACTTAGACCAAGCTAGCTCTAAGGAAGCATTTGCACTCAACACTTGCATTGTAAACAAGCTCTTAAATCCTCAGAAAATAAGATCAAAATTTGTTTAGTACTCAAAAATTATTAGATCCATGAAAAAAGTTGTTTATTGTAGCCAAACATTTGTGAACATATCCGAGTCTTAGCTTCAAAATAAGAATTTATATGCATATATTCGAAATGAAAAATTTAATAAGGTTATAAGGAAAATAAATAAATAAATAAATAAATCAACACGATATGCACAATACCGATGACATCATTTTGATGATTCTAATGTATGGATTTGCTTGATGTCTGACTTTACAAATATTCTATTTAAAGGCACATCTTCGAAGACAGCTAAATGCAAAACAATGCACTTCCATAAGTATAAACAATTTCGTATATTAACGCTCTATTAATATTATTCTGCGTGCTCGAAACTCCGAAATTTTTGCCATGTCTTTATCTTATTTATTTATCCACATCTGTATCTTATGCATATAAACAAACCAAAGCGAACGCATCGCCACACGAAATGCGAATGGAAATGGAGAGAAGGAAGGCGAGAAAAATGAAAATGCAAACAAATATGGCTGAAAGGTAAATAATACCACATCGTTGTGTCATCGATATTTGCCGACGCCTTCTATTGAAATTCTTTAGGTGTGCGTGTGTACGTGTTTGTTTGGGAAATACCCGCGAAATATGCGGAAAATACATAAATGAAAACAGAAAGGTGCCAAATGACTTGGAAAAAAGCGCACAACGATGCCAAAGAGAACGAAGGCGTCGCTGCCTCTTAGCCTTTTGCCTCCCCCACCACTTTGCTAATATGGCAGGTGACAGATGACGTAGCTGCCTTAAAAAGAAGAAATGAAAGAAACAAGAAATAGCACGCATACGACGTGTGGCACACGACCAAGACCCAAGACGTTGCTCAGCTCGAGGTGGAGAGGAGTAGAGAGGGAATATATACAGTATATATATGTATATGTATATATAATAATTTGTATATGAAAAGGCCAAGTCAAAACGAGGCAAAGTTCGTCACAAATTTGGGACAACAACCAGGCAATTGCATTAGCCCTGCCGCATGGGTGGTGTATGTAGAGTGCGGGCGGTGAGAGGGGAGCGAGTGCATGTGCCGTTATGACAGCAGCTGTGCTCGTCGCTCACGACAACTTCGTCGCCTCGCTGTACTAGAAATTTGTTGCGCTGGCAGAGCAACGTGTTGTGAGGGGGGATGAGAGCCCGCTGCATTGAGCGCCAAAGCGCATGCCTGCTGGGAGTGAGTAAATGCCCAGCGACGGAGAGACAGAGAGAGCAAGAGAGAGCAAGAGAGAGAGAGTGCGAGATGTGCCGCCTGTTGTGGAATGAGCCGCGCCATGCCTGCACTTTTTCTTCATTTTTTTCGGGCATTAGCTTTAAGTTGGGGGCACTTGCAAAAATGAATATGCATATAAATATGCATATTATAGGGTGGGGTTTCGAGCAGGACCTTAGAAGCAATAAATTAAAATTTAAATTTTATAGCAACAGCAATAACCACTACTACTACCACCATTTAGTGTAACGCGCGCGCGACACCGATTGAAAAACGAAACGAGCGAAAAATTCAGAACCGAATGAGTCCCCAAAAGC